AAAAGCGCACTTTTTCATTTTATAATGCCGTCTTATTGCTCTTCTTCCTAGTAGGTGCATTTTAAAAATGTTTTCCCGATGAATCCTGGACTCCTGCTCAAAATGATAAATTAATATAAGGACAGCTACAAAAAATAAAGCTGTTATCGTTCCCTCCTGACGGATGACCGCTCAGTGGAATCCCGGAAAATAAACCGTGGAACTTTGACCAATGAGAGAACGGTTTACTCACGCGTGACTTGTATTAACAAATTTGGTCCGTTTAGAAACTTTGCAGTGTGAAAGCGAACCGCACCAAGAATAAAAAGCAACACTGTAATAATTGTAATCCCTGTTTCGGAACAAAGCAATCGATCTACAGGTGTGAAAGCACCCTAACACTAGCTTGTTGCTCTATTCTTTAAAAAAAAAAAACAACCTTGCTGCGTTAAGCTAACTGAGACTTGTTATAGCACTTGCATATCATTGCTCTTTTGTTAGATTTGATTGCTTCTATTGTCCTCATTTGTAAGTCGCTTTGGATAAAAGCACCTGCTAAAAGACTAAATGTAAATGTAAATATCATCTGAAGTGTCTGCTAGGAGCTTAAGAAATAAATGAAAATTAAGTGTTACTGGACAACTGTTAGAGTTAAGGCCTTTTCACACTGAAAATTCGGCGCAATGACGCTTTTGAATCGAAACAATAGATCCCTATAGGGCTATTCACGATCATTCGCAGCCTGAAAAAGCAAGGATTCCCCTTCTAGGGAACTAGAGGGCACATTGGGAAATGCAGCCTGCATGGCCGGTGTCTAAAGCACATGTGAAACAACGCCAATCCATTGGTTCACCTGGCCCATGACGTCATAGACGGGATGCCCGGAAGTATAAAAGGGCACCTGCTGAATACGTCACCAACTTTGCAGTCTTCAGGAGCCATCTGTTTGAAGTGCGTGTGAGAGACCAAGGCAGATGAGCGCTGTGGAAAGTGTGTGCCTCCGTGCCCGAGGTTTCTGACACTTGAGGACACACACGATCTATGCGTTATGTGTCAGATGCCACAGATACTATTGGGTTGTTATGACGAAGTGTGACCATGGAGTCGTTTCAGCCTGCTGCTGCGAGATCGTGGGCGGAGCTATATTCAGCTCGGCCGTGCCTCTCTAATATGCATGTTATTGTGTGTGGAGAGCCTCGCTGGGCGTGAATATATTTAAATACTCTGTGGAGAGAGACTTGCAAGCTTTCTCTCCCAGGGTGTTTCAGCACCTAGAGTGGTTATGGGGAATTTCTCTTCCGGAGTTAATCCGGATGGGTTTAGGAGTGGGCTGCCTCCCCAGGCGTCTGGGTAGTTTTAAGTGGGTGGTCCCTCTGAATCCCGCTTAGTGGGTTTGGGCTGAGTACACTGCTCCCCCTCTTCAGAGCTTAAGTAAACAGTCCCTACTCAGAGTGTAGCTGTCTGCAGATGGTTATGCTCCAGTTCAAGCTTATTTTGCTCTGGAATATGGCGGTCTGAGGGCAGCTATGTTCTAGCCTGGCTTGGGTTCCCCTTGGCACAAGTTCTCTCGATTAAGCGCTGAAGTCTTTGTCTAGGAATCTGCTATTCAAGGATAGCTGTGTTCCAGCTCAGAGACTGCTCCCGTTTTTAGGGTTTTTAAATAGGGGTCTCCAAGAGCCCCTTGCATGGACTGTGCTATCTCCCCTTTTAAGTAGATGGCCCACTTCTGTGGTCTGGGCGATCTTCAGCCTTATCTGAGGGAACTGCTATTCGAGGATAGGTGTGTCCAGCCCTCTAGTGTTTTGGCCACAGCTTACATCAGGCTTTGATCTCGGACTAATGATGTTTATGTGTTCGCTCTTAACAAATCATTTACTGATGGCCCGGATCTCCCTCTTGTGAGCTCCTGGTCAATGACACGGTGTTTCGTTGCCTACTGTGGGACTGACATGGACTGGGAACCTCCTTAGCATAGCCATCTGAGGATGGTTATATTTCAGCCATTGTTATGGCAGGATGGGCTTACTTGAATACAGCTATCTGAGGTGAGCTGTGTCTTACTGGCAGTTCTGGTGAGCCCTCTCCTGGAGTGATCCCCTTTCCTAGAGCCTAGCTAACTGAGGATAGCTATGTGATAGCTCAGTGATTGCTCCCCTGCCTAGGGTTTTAAGTAGTGGTCTCCTAGAGCCCTTGCCTTGACAGTGCTATCTCCCCTGCTAGGGTTGTAAGTAGATAGCCCACTCTCTATGGTCTGGGCAGCTTTGCAGGAAGGTTTTGCCTGGCTATCTAGGCTAGCTGTGTATGGTTATTCTGGTCTACAAGCCTTCTTAAGACCTATATGACATAGCTATCTGAGGATAGCTGTGTTCTTGCTCTGCAGCTATTTCTCCTTACTGGGATTTAAGTAGCTATCTTTGAGCTCCTCTAGTGGCTTTCTAGTTAGTCTCTTCAGTGGTCTTGTGTATCCAGGCTTATATGGCTCAGACATAGCTATCTGAGGATAGCTGTGTTCTTGCTCTGCAGCTATTTCTCCTTACTGGGATTTAAGTAGCTATCTTTGAGCTCCTCTAGTGGCTTTCTAGTTAGTCTCTTCAGTGGTCTTGTGTATCCAGGCTTATATGGCTCACATAGCATAGCTATCTGAGGATAGTTGTGCTCTTAACTTGAGTGGGATGTTCCCCTTGATCTAATCGGGTTCCCCATTTCTGACAAATTGTGTGAGCGGCCCGTGGCGCAGTGGCATGGCCCCTTTCTGAGGAAAGGCTTTGTTTATGTCTGTCACTTCCTTGGTGCTCCCCCCACCAGGTGGACAGGCATGCACCTCGGCACGACATGGTTGGATTTCGTTCCCAATATGCCCCCTAGGGGGCACAGCGTGGAAATCCCTAGAAGGGGAACGTCTCGGGTTACGCATGCCTACGGCCTGCCTGTTTACGTCTCCTTCAGACATCTAAGTGGATGACGTATTCAGCAGGTGCCCTTTTATACTTCCGGGCATCCCGTCTATGACGTCATGGGCCAGGTGAACCAATGGATTGGCGTTGTTTCACACGTGCTTCAGACACCGGTCATGCAGGCTGCATTTATCTCGTTCACTGTGGATCTCGCGAGCCAGATTTGAGGATCACTGCTACAGATCTTCCGTACTAAAAAAAAAAATATTGAGTGAAACATTTTTCTACACATGAAATATGAAAACAAATAGACATAAGATTACGACGATATATTTTCTGCATGTGTTTTGTGTGCAGCTCATGGTATTTTTATAACAAGAAAAGGATGTTGACAAATGATAAGCAGTGTAGCGTCATTAAACATACAAAGAGTGCATGTCTGCCTATTATAGAATCAAAATCAACTATAGATCACAGTCAGAAGTTATTCCAAGCACTAGATGATGGTTTAAAGTGGGTTTTAAGCAAATACATTAATTACATACATTTTCAAATGTTGCTTGATGCAAATTGTACCTCTAATTACATTTTAGGATGTATTCTTGTAAGCATTATAGATAGTTTGTGTTTCCGGTGTAGAACCAAGCTTTATTTATCTTAATTTAAGGCTGTATATGGAGCAGCAGAAGATGTTAAATCCATATACGAGATACATATCTGAGGAAAAATGCATTGTTGGTCGGTGCCACCTAGCGTGCAGGCGTGAATTAGCAGAAGGCGATCAATCGTTTCGCGTTCGATGCGAAAGCACCGTTCGGTGGCAATTTGCCTTGCTTTTTCACATTGCACCCAGTGTGACACGGCCTTTAGGTGTCATATGGGCTATATAAGGCAAACACAACACTGTTCATTACATTTCACACACACGCATAAGGAGCTTGGCTTTCATCTCCAGCTGGAAGTTAACAACACAGTACTCCGTTTACGACTGCAGTTTTTCTAAGCATGTCTGGGTTATCGGTATTTTAAAGTTTTACAACATAAAATATATAGCATGCCTCACACTAGAAAGGCTGCTTTCTATATGGGACACAAGTGCTTGTGAACATATCTCTGGCATTATTCTCAATATAGGCTAATATACAGAGAAAGAGGTGAAAGCAGAAGAAAGATTATTTGCTGTATCAGAATTTAAAGTCCCCCTGTAGTCAAAAATGTTATCCTTTAAAACTCATCTTTGATCATCAAAATGACATATTTAAATGTTTTTTCTTGTAAAAATAATTTTCTCATGCCTTAAAATAGTTTGAATGCAACTCTACACCCTTGCCTCATCACACACACGCATAAGGAGCTTGGCTTTCATCTCCAGCTGGAAGTTAACAACACAGTACTCCGTTTACGACTGCAGTTTTTCTAAGCATGTCTGGGTTATCGGTATTTTAAAGTTTTACAACATAAAATATATAGCATGCCTCACACTAGAAAGGCTGCTTTCTATATGGGACACAAGTGCTTGTGAACATATCTCTGGCATTATTCTCAATATAGGCTAATATACAGAGAAAGAGGTGAAAGCAGAAGAAAGATTATTTGCTGTATCAGGGGAAATATTAACAGTTAGCGAAACATCTACAGAAAAAATATAACTGTTACCGGAATAACCTGGCTGCCTTCTCACTAGTCCCTCTGCTTTGCAGCACAGTTAATGATATGCTAATTGGTTATTGAGTTTTGTGACGTAGCAAAAAAAAGGCTGTTTCAAACCGCGTTTCTGTGACTGCCTTTGGGAAACTACAGTTTTAAGGAGAAAATACTCAGCAATGGTGTTGATAAATGGATTGGCACATGGTTTGTCTAAAAGCATATTAAAAACACTACATAGACAAATAAACAACATTAAAAAAACTTGATGTTCACCACAGGGGGACTTTAACACAATTACATTTTTTCTAATGAACACTATGAGCAGATCAGATGGACCATGCGTCTATTTTCGGTACTTATTTGCTTTAATGTCTAGCAACCTAAAATCAGAAGGATCAAAAAAGGTAAATATCTGAAATAGCCTAGGGTGGTGGTGAGGACAGTTCTAGTTTAGAAATCTTAAATATCTTAAATGTAAAAATATCCTACAAAAAGATAATCAAATAATGTATTAAAGGATTTGTTTACTTCCAGAATGAAAATTTTCCAATAGTTTACTCACCCCCATGTCATCCATGATGTTCATGTCTTTGTTTCTTCAGTCACAAAGAAATTAAGTTTTTTGAGGAAAACATTCCAGGATTTTTCTCCAGTGGACTTTAATGGTGGTCACTGGGTTGAAGGTCCAAATTGCAGCTTCAAATGGGTCTAAATGATCCCAGCCAAGGAATATGGGTCTTAACTTGCCAAACGATTGCTCATTTTCTAAAAAAAATTAAAATGCATGTACTTTTTAACCACAAATGATCATCTTGCACTAGCTCTGTGATGCGCATTAAGAAATCACGTTGGAAAAGTCACGTACGGTTAGTTCTTTGTCTGTGTACTTCGGTTCAAAACGGTAGGGTAGGGTGAAAATCTAATTTTCTCCTCCAACTTCAAGGGTGTTTGACTTCTTTGCATGTTCACTTTGTAAACAATGGGTCGGTGTTTCCGCCTACGTCACCGCATGACCTTTCCAACACTGCATAACGCGTGAGGTCAAGCTAGTGCAAGACGAGCATTTGTGGTTAAAAGCAAAAATTTTTTTTAGAAAATGAGCAATCGTTTGGATAGATAAGACCCTTATTCCTCGGCTGGGATCGTTTAGAGCCCTTTGAAGCTGCAATTTTTGACCTTCAACCCGTTGGCCACCATTGAAGTCCACTATATAGAGAAAAATTCTGGAATGTTTTCCTTAATTTCCTCAAACCTCAATTTTTTCGAGACTGAAGAAAGACAGACATGACCATCTCGGATGACATGGGGGTGAATTATCAGGAAATTTTCATTCTGGAGTGAACTACTCCTTTAAATCCGAACGGAAGGCATCGTAAAACACAATCAACAAAACACCAGAGCAGGAGAAAGTGCTCGCCCTCACTGACGAACGTACCTTGTGTGTACGCAGCATCGTCCGCACCCATGCTGAGTCTGTGCTGCTCCGAGCTTTTGTCCTGGTGAGGTGAGAGCGGGTCGGACTGGTACAGCGGATCCGGCTCCGCGTAATGGTGATCGCCCGGTAGACTGAGCAGGTTAGTCGGCTCAAACGTGGGCGACACCACCCCAGGAGACACAGCCGGAGGTTTATTGGGGGAGACAGTGATTTTGAAGGTGTATTTGGTGTTGGGCTGCGTCACCACCACGCGAGGAGACGTGGCCGTGCCTCCAGCTCCCACAGAGGGACGGGATTTGGGCGGGTGGTGGTGTATGTATGCAGGGCCCATGCTCACCTGGCTCCCCAAAGCTCGCAGACCGGCGGAGCCCTGTAGCGCGGGATTGGCCGAGATATAGACCGTCGGCGGATTCCTCGCCCCTCCGTCGTCGGCCGATGCATTCGCAGAGATGTAGAACTTGGGCTGCGAGCGAGGGGCGTTGGGAACGAGGGCACAGTCGTCTGCAGCGGGCGGGGACGGGGAGATGTACACCGTGGGCTGGCTGCGACTCAGCCCAGCGCCGCCGATCGAGATGGGAGTGGAGGGACCCGCGGACGCAGCCAGCGAAGACGACGCTGGACAGGACGAAGACGTAGAGCTACAGGCGGCTCGCGGCGCAGAGCTGGAGCGCAGGAGTGTCGCCGTTGACCCTCCGGACATCCTCTGCGGAGACTCCAGCTTTATCTCGATCTGATTCTTCCGCGGCCCGGTGGAGATGTTCTGGATGTTGTACTGGCTGAAGGAGGACGAGCTGGAGGAAGGTGAGGGTGTGGAGGAAGCGGCCTGTAAAGCCACGGCCGAGGGAATGGAGGGCGCCTGGGTGTTGGTGGGCGAGCTGATGGGCATGTACACGTGCGAGGTCTGATGCTGGCTGCCGGTCCAGGAGCTCTGGGAAGCTGCAGGGTGGCTGATCTGGTAGATCTGCTGAGCAGGCTGCGAGGTGGGGCTGTACTGAGCTCGGCCCTGCACCTGTCGCGTGGAGCCCGGCTGGGTCACGTACGGCCGGATGTAGATGGAGTTTGGGCTGTTCAGGCCCGACTGAGGCCCTCCATGGATGTGCAGGGAGGTCGGCGTGTTGCGGCCGGTATTGGGCGCAAGCGTCACCGTGATCGGGTTGAAGCGCGGGGTGGGAGGCGGTCCGTGACCTTTGCCCCCGACCTGGTAAAGGCCCAGGTGCTGAGGAGGCTGTGGCTTGCGAGTGGACTCCATGGTGGCGAAGGCGCCGAGGCTCGCGGGCGTGTGTGTCATCACAGACGGCGTTTCGGGCTGGTAGAACTCGGAGAGAGGGGATGGCACGGTCAAAGGCCCATCGCTTGCGCTGGGGGTGACAGTCCTGCTGCCATTCATCCTCATTACATCTCGCTGCACGGCGCCATGGGTATTCTGAGAGATGCCGAGGTTGAGCTGGGTCATGTGATTGCGAAGATCTGTCGAACTCTGGCTGCCTTCGCTATACAAGAAACCAGGACTCACCTTGGTCAGGTACTCGCAACACGCAGCTAAATTGTTCTTATTCTGGGGAGAGAAGAGAGAGACAAGTCTGTCAGCTTCAGATCGAGTAGATACTGTATGTGTGGGTCACTTTTGTATACAGTTAGTTCCATATGTATTTGGACGCAGACACAATTTTTATTATTTTAGCTGCTGACCAAAACATATTCAAGTTAGAGTTATATAATGAATATGGGCTTAAAGTGCACACTCTGACCTTTAATTTGAGGGTATTCACATCAAAATTGGAGGTTAAAGGTTAAGGAATTACAGCTCTTTAATATGTACCTCCCCCACTTTTTCAAGGGACCATAAGTAATTGGACAGTTGACTCAAAAGCTGTTTCATGGACGGGTGTGGGCTATTCCTTCATTATTTCTACATCAATTAAGCAGGTAAAAGGTCTGGAGTAGGGATGCTCATTTTAACCGGTTAACCTAACCGACCGTAATAATTTTGATCGATTAATACAATCAGTTAAACGGTTTAAAAAGTCATTTATTTATTTAGTTATTTTTTTCAGTAATTTACCAAAATATTTAAAAAGGTTTGCTGCATGGTTAAAATACGCTACGCACATAAAAATTTGTGTTTTTTAGGGAAAAGAAAAAAAAACATAAGTCGCGTATAAGTCGCATTTTATGATTTCATTTTCAGAGAAGGTGCTGGCTCTTTTTAAGGATAAATTGGATTTGGACCCACTCAACATCGGTATACAGAAAGTTCAACGAGTTGGAAAAGCTCTTAAAGTACAGGATGAAATCCGGAGTCGACCTCGACCAACAATGGTGTCTTTTTTAAGAATCAAGCACAGAGATCGAGTGATGGCCAACGCGAGAAAGCTGAAGGGTTCGAATATTTTTATAAACGAGGACTATCCTGAATCGGTTCGAAAGAGGAGAAAGGAACTGATTCCTAAAATGAAAGCTGCAAGAGAAAGAGGGGACATTGCTTTCTTAAGGTACGATAAACTCATTGTTCATAAGAGGCAAGCAAAGGAGAACATGTGAGGATGTGACAAGGATCAAGGTGTGACGTGATGTGATGTGCTGTATATTGTGTCTATTGCCGTTTTATTGCCAAAAAAATATGTAAAGTTTGCTCATTTTAATATTTGTAGTTTGAGGAACAAAGTATATGAAGTTGCTGATTTGTTGCTATCAAACACAATTAATATTGTTGCTATATCTGAAACTCATTTGGATGAGACATTTGATGATAATGCTGTTATATCCTAATAAGAGGATATAATTTATATAGAAGAGATAGAAATAAGTACGGTGGAGGTGTTGCCTTTTATGTGCAGAATCATATTTCTGTAAGAGTAAGGAATGATATCATGTGTAATGAAGTGGAGGTTCTATGGCTGCAAGGTAATTTACCTCATGTCAAGCCAAGTTTAGTAGGATGTTGTTATAGGCCACCAGGTTCAAACCATAAATATTTGGAAGACATGGGTGAGATGCTGAATAAGGTATGTGAATTAAATATAGAAGTTGTTTTTTTTAGGTGATCTTAATATTAATTGGTTAGTACATGAGTGCTTTTTAAAGAATCAATTGGTAAATATAAATTGAAACAGACGGTTAGACAACCAACGAGAATAAGCATAAATAATAAGGGCAAGTCCACGTCATCTTGTATAGATCATATTTATTTGAGCAATGAAGATTTGTATACGGCAGCAATTTCAGTTCAAGTAGGTTTTAGTGATCATAATATAGTTGTGATTGCAAGGAAAAACAAAATTTCCAAAGCTAAGCAAAGAATTGTGTTTAAAAGGTCATATAGGAGGTTTTCCCAGGAAGCTTTCTTGAGGGATATTAGTAATGTAAAGTGGTCAGAGATTTATGATGTAGAAGAACCAAATAATGCACTTGAATTATTCATTAGAAAATTTCAGCCAGTTATTGATAATCATGCGCCTGTTAAGAAATTAATTATAAAGGATTGTAGAGCATCCTGGATTGAAAGCGAACTAAAGGACTATATGGCTCAGAGAGACGAGGCTTTGGAAAAAGCAAAAAAAACTGGTAGTGTAACGGATAGACAGAAATATTGTAAATTGAGAAATTATGTCACAGGTCTTAATAAAAAGAAAAAGAAACAATATTATACATTACAGTTAAGTAGTAAGAAGAAAGATGGGAAGAAGCTTTGGAAGGTATTAAATAATATAATGGGAAGACAGAAGTCCTCACAACCTGCTTCAATTGACTGTGAAGGTACTTATATGACAAAACCTGAAGAAATTGCTAATTATTTGAATGATTATTTTAGCAGGAAGATACAGAATTTGAGGAAAGAAATATCATATGTGACAGAAAATACCTCTTCAATTCTTAATATAAAGAACTATATGAGAGATAAGAACTGTTATTTTGAGTTTGGTGAATTGGGAGAAGAAACTGTGAAAAGGCTAATAAAATCTGTCTGTAAAGAAACAACCAGGGATAGATAATATAGATGATAATCTGATCCGATTAGCCATAGATTATGTGTCTGGTCCAATACGTCATACGTTAACCGATTATTAACCGTTAACCGACAAGATTATTTTAAATTAGAATTGAATAAAATTAGAAAGGAGGGATGTAACGACTAACCGCGAGCCGGTTGAAAATATCATAGTTAGTTATATGGAAACGAAAGTTGTTAACATTCAACCCGTTCTTTATCATCAGTAGTATTATTTGTGATTTGATTTGAATTATGTGAATGTGAGTTTCTCTTTTGCTGTGTTATACCGCAGGCTTCGGATGCTTTCACTTTCGAATTCACGATCTTGTTGTCACTGTTTTGCTTGCATACATCTACACACCTTCCATTTTTTAAGACTAAAACAAAAGATGGATTCTTTGTTATTCTTAATCAAAAAGCACAACAACAATAAATCAGTAAGATACAATGACAAACTAGCTTACAAAACGTTTATTAACAAAAACCATAGCGTTATGTGAGGTAAACAGCAAAGATACGTTTTTCAAAAATGAAAACAAAAAGAAAAGTAAAACTAAAGTAAAACTGCATGTTTTTTCCCCACAATAATACCAGCAGGTTCACCTTCTCTGGTTTAAGAAGCGGTCTTTTACTTGACTTTCGCTTGAAAACCATCCATCGTTTCCTCAATATGCACGTCATTTTTGCTGTAGCTGAGTAGGTATACTCTCTAAGCGCTGTTTCATGGATCGTGATTAAAATGCAGTGGTTGCCTCTAATTTTAAATGGAAAGAGCACAGACAAAGCCTTAGTTTGTTTATATGAAGAGATTTATTTTATTTGGGGCTTGTTTTAAATTTTCAATTTAGTTTTGTTATTTACATTTACATTATATTTAAATTTAGTCATTTAGCAGGTGCTTTTGTCCGAAGCGATTTACAAATGAGGACAATAGAAGCAATCAAAACCAACAAAAGAGCAAATGCATGCAAGTGCTATATTAGTATATTATTATAGTGTTATATTTCAATTTCACAAAGAAACGTACAGTATTTTGTCCAAGCAATAATAAAAGGACGCATTTAATTTATAATTTGTCTTAAATCTCATTTTGTTAAAAAAATAAATAAATCGTGCATCGAACCAAATCATGAGTTGAGTGAATCGTTACATCCCTACCTGTGACCCATTAAACATACTAACATTTGTTTCCCGGGGATTAATTTTACAAAAGCAGCAAACAACAGAACATGAGGATTCACATGGTCTTCATATCACATCACGCACCAGCAGCGCTTCTGCCAGTGGAGAAAAACATCATAAAGCTAGGCTATATATATATATATACACAGTGGGTACAATTCTGTCTCTGAGCTCTTCAGGCAGTTCCTTTGACCTCATGATTCTCATTTGCTCTGACATGCACTGTGAGCTGTAAGGTCTTATATAGACAGGTGTGTGGCTTTCCTAATCAAGTCCAGTCAGTATAATCAAACACAGCTGGACTCAAATGAAGGTGTAGAACCATCTCAAGGATGATCAGAAGAAATGGACAACACCTGAGTTAAATATATGAGTGTCACAGCAAAGGGCCTGAATACTTAGGACCATGTGATATTTCAGTTTTTCTTTTTTAATAAATCTGCAAAAATGTCAACAATTCTGTGTGTTTCTGTCCACATGGGGTTCTGTGTGTACATTAATGAGGAAAAAAAATCAACTTAAATGATTTTAGCAAATGGCTACAATATAACAAAGAGTGAAAAATTTAAGGGGGTCTGAATACTTTCCGTACCCACTGTATATAAAATAATAATACATTTTCCATTTTGTTACATTTTCTTTAAAATGTTACATTTTCTTTAAAAATCTTTAATATGCAGCACAAACATGTTCTGATTTGATGCCTTCAAATAAACAATGAAATTATAACCGTTTACATGAAGGATTGGTTATTTATCCTGATAACAGAAAAAAAATTGATTTTTGGAATTCTTTATATACATGTTAGAAAGAAATTTCTATTTCATTAAATTGAGATTTAATATTAAATATTATGTTATTTATTTTATACATGTAAAAGAGATGTCTATTTTTCAGTAAATATTAAAATATTAAAAGTTTATAATAATTTAAAAATTATAAT